TTCTCAGAAGTTACAAACAGATTATCAGGAATATTCCGTACAAAGACAAGATCTTAACAATTAAATCTATAATTTATCGGGTTAAATACGAAATCTCAGGGTGTTTTCTCATTTATGGTCAACTCGGACTATTTTTATCTCTCAAGGTCATTTTCGTAATTTCTTAACCGAATAATTTCGGTATTAACTCTTAACGAAAATAATTATAATATTGAGATCTTATGGTTAATTTTTTTCCCGAATATTTTCTGATCTTGAAATGATTCCTTAACAGACTCCTAGAATATTGCCCAAACCATCTTGGGGTTAAAAATCGTTTATTCAAATTTTCTAAGCAAAACTAGCATTTCTTATGCACATCAGTAGTTTCATCAGATCAATGTCTTTAAAAATCATTTATTCAACTTTCATGGTCAAATCTTATCTTTTTACAACATAAGAGTATTTTCGTAATTTTACCCTACCAGAGTATTCTCATACTTTCTCATCCAAGTACCTTTAATATTTAACCTTTGATGAAATAAATTATAAGTTACATATCCAGGCTAATTCCTTTATCACTGATCACAGAACTCGTAATTTAATTCTAAAAATCCCTCAATTTCTTATATCAATCATCCGAGCCGTATTCATTTACCGAAATTTTACCGCATCCATATCGAGTGTATTAATTAATTAAAAACCCAAAAGTGACCAAGCATGTTCAATCATGCATTTTCCAATATCAACATGTTCCACAAATCATAAAAAAGTAGTAAAGTATTACCTTGATTTCCGTGCAATACTGATCGGCCATTAATTTCCATTCTTACTTCCTCGATCCTTAATTCAACTTCCAATAATTTCTCAAATAAATAACAATATAATTTTCATAAAACAACGGGGCTTAATTCTAAAAAACGGATCAAATCGGATGATAAATCAGTGAAAAACAACTTATCAGATTCAAATTTGGCGAAACGTACCCCAAAAACGGATTCAGTACGTTAAAAAACATCAGGATAGGTATACCCGGAAAAAAGTCAACGGTCGTTAAATGCCCGGTCAACACCGGTCAAAGTTCTGGTCAATTGTGGTCAACGGAAGTCAACGTCGGTTAACGATCAACGCAGTCAACGGGTTGGGTCGGTCGGTCGGTCGGTTGGTCGGATCGGATCAATCAAACCGATTTTTTTCTTTTTTTTCATGTTACCTGCGCAGAACTATCCCCACGCGCAGGGGGTGGCGCGTGTGGCATCCTCGAAGCCCCTAAAAATCCTGAAAAAAAAATTTAACAATTATTTTATGGCATTTTGAGACACTTACCAAGCTCGGTTCACAATTTTGAATGGTGGAGAGCTCGATTCCGAAACGTTGGAAACTTTGACTTTCTCACCCCTCCACGCGCCGGCGACGACGAAGACACAGAGATCACCGGTGGACTTGGAACGATGCAAGGAACACGATGGTGTGGGAGGTGTCAAAAACAAGTGGTCGGATCGAATTGAATCGACGGAAAACCAACAAAAATTAAGTTAAAACCGACGATACTTCCGATTGAAATTAACGATGAACGACGTCGATTCACGACGAGAGGCTTGAGGGGATTTGTTCATCGGTCGACAACGAACACGATGATGGTTTTGGTTCGTCGAACGGAGGCCGGACGACGAGTGGATCGGAGATCAAAGTCGTTGATCGGGGGAGAGGAAAAATGAGAATTTTCTGCAGAAATTCATGGGAAGAGAGTTATAATTGTCTCAAAAATAAAAATGGTTAAACTATGTGTTTAGCCACTAAATTTCCTGCACTTTATAAAACGATCTACCAACTTTGAAAATTTTCAATTTAATCCTCAATTTTCTTCCCAAAATACCAATTAAATCCACCACTTTATAATTCTAAAATTTTGCCCCTAAATTGGGGTGTTACAAAATTCTTGAGAACACTCTCTCCCAAAGAGAAAATTACAAATTCGTAAACTTTACAGAAAAACCTCACTAGGCAAGATGTTTGCACAATTTTATAACAAGAAAAGAACACTCAAGAATAAATACAATTGAGCACAAATGGTGTTCTTGAAAGCAAAATGAATATTGAATGGAAATAGGCTTGAAATGCTCAAACAATAAGTTTAAGGCTTTCTCTTTTGATTCTCTCTCAATTCTTGTTGATCAATGGTTTCCGAACTTGTTTAAATACACCTTGGATTAATTCTGAACATTAGGGATCATTGGTGAAGTCAATAAAGCCGTTGTTGTATGCTTTCCATTTAAAAAAATTGTTGGGAGCGTAGGGGTATCGGTACACCTTTAAAGGGTATCGGTACACCAGTGTAAAATTTAAATATTTCGCCCGTTTTTTGACCGAGTGTATTGGTACACCTATGACATTCGATGTTTCTTGGAGCCAAATTTGACATGAGGGGTATCAGTACATTCGGCTATGTATCGGTACCCTTATTACATTCGAAATTCAGGGGTATCGGTACATTCAAAGAGTGTATCGGTACCTCCCTATATAAAACTTATTTTTGGCTCGATTATGGTTCAAAATACTTTGTAGAAATTGTTTCAAAAATATTTTAAGATTGAAACAAAATTTTACACTTAAGTAAGGCGTAAAATTGACATTTGAAAACTTGGAGCAATATTTTTTATATTCGATTAATTTAATCGAATATTATTTTGAAATATAAAATCTTAAAATTCATTTACACTTTATTTGTTATATCGGAATATCAAAATGTTTTCAACAATCTCCCCTTTTTGGTATAACAAAACAATTTAATAATTTTAAGATTTTCTTTTTGAAAAATCATTTTTGAAATCGATTTTGAAAAATTACTCCTCTTACTATATTATTCTCCCTTTTTTTAAATCAAAAAGACTCTATGGAAACGTTTTAAACAAGTTTTTAAGGAAAATAGCCAATTGATTTATATAGATATAGTGATTTAGCTGCTAAGATCACAATCAAGAGAATTGTTAGCCATTAGTCCATAAACAATATTCATAAACAATGTGTAAATTGGGAATTGGTCATTTGATATCTAATATGTAAATGATGCAATAATTATGACAAATCAATCTAAGTGCAAATAACTAATAATCATTCAAAATCAAACAAAGTCAAACAAATCCAATAAACATTCAAGTTTAATTATCCCAACACATCAAAATGTTTTAACAATGTTTAAGTCCAACATTCAACCAAGAAAACAAGCAAGAAAAGGTTTAGTCATCCATCAGTGGGTCAAGAGGAGGAAAATGTGCTCGTAGAGCAGCCATGTCGAGTTTGAGTGCATTGAGTCTTTCGTCCATAGCAATGAGTCGATGATTTATTGCTTCGTTGTTAGCTCGCATCTCTCGTTGATTCTCCAATTTTAGAGCCCCATTGCAGTTAAGTGAGACTCTATGGATGCAAACCTCATGTCAAATGTCTCCATGAATGAACGAAAATATGGAGGCATCTGACTCTCTTGCTGGACCAGCTCATCTTCGGCTAGGTTAACGGAATCATCGACATCCCGAAAAAGATCTTCAAGTTCTGGATCATCAGCAGCTGGTGTCGGAACAACTCGTGAAGAGCTAGCGCCCGGTGTTTTCTTGGTTGATCGAACCCATTGATCTTTATCCCCACTCCATCCCGATTTACGCAAATATTTTAGATTAATTTGGTTTTTAATAAGGATGACTACATCAAGTTGTACCCTAAGCTTGACTTTGATAAACATATTACTAATAAGATAACCGTAAACTAAGGTTTCTACGTGTTTAGAAGGAACGTTGTATACGGTTTCAACTAGTTCAGCAAAAATAATTTGTGGCAAGTTTATTTTCTTATTATACTGGATACAATGTATCCACCATAAATCTAAAGCTCTAAGGGTGGATTATTTGCCTCTGGATGGTCTAAACCACCAAGATATGATCAGATGAAGAAAACGATCGTGGTGATCTGACAACGTACTCGCACTAGCCTTGGCTCTATAGGAGTAGCCACAATTTCCCTCTCGTTATCTAAGCCCTCATTATCTAAACCAAAGGTTTTGGCGATTGAGTCTGAGTCAATATGAATGTATTGGCCTAGGAGATAAGACCAAACACTAACAGTGGCAGTTTGAGACTCATTTTGGACATAAACCACAATATAATAGAAAATACGGACGAGTTGGTGATAAACAACAGGTGTAAGCTGAAATAGTTTATCAAATTTCCAAGATTGAAGGGTAGGAAGATATTTAAATTTCATATCAATCACGGCTTGAAGTGAAGGGATACGTTCTTCCCGAATGTTATAAGACTCAAATAGGTTAATAAACCTAGTGTAGAGATTTTCCCAATGGACAGGTTCGTTAAAACAAGAATTTCATATAGTCATTTTGGGTTTAGTTGGGTTTGGATTGGGAGGTGGAATAGGAGGTCAGTTTGGAGGTTGGTTTGACCGACTAGACGAAGTCCTAGGTCGTTTGGAATGAGATTGGTTTAAATCAGAATGGGATAAGGATACTTGCAACTTGAAAACACGTGTAAGCAACAATATCAATCCCAAAACTCAATATGAGTCCTCAATATTAAAGGTTCTCTAAAACTAATCCTAATGGGCAATTTTGAAAACTATTTGAAAAACTAAGTTTGAAAAATCATTATATGTATAGCTTTCATTAAAACAACATAATTAAATCAAAAACAACAATTTTAAAATAAAATCATTTTGAAAATTTTGAAAATTTTGAAAATTTTTAAAAAAATTGAAAAATTTTGTGTTTTTGATGAAATTTGTTGTAGATTCTAGTATAAAATCATAATACAAGCAATGCTCGATCACTAATTCAAACTAGAACTAATTAAAACTAGTCCTATGTTAAAAAATCAATAAAATAGTTTTAGAAAAGTTTACCTTGAAAAATTGAAGATTGAGTGGAATGTTGAGTTGTTTGCACGATTTTGATGATTGTATCAGGTTTAGAAGTTGAAAATCGAGTGAAATCTGACTTAAATTTGTTGATTTAAGCAAAAATGGAGATTGGGTGAGAGAGAGGGACGAACGGCGAGGTGCTTTAGGTTTAGGAATTTTAACAAAATGAAGAAATTAGGGATTTAAACCCTTATTACATTCGAAATTTAGGGGTATCGGTACATTCAAAGAGTGTATCGGTACCTCCCTATATAAAACTTATTTTTGGCTTGATTATGGTTCGAAATACTTTGTAAAAATTGTTTTAAAAATATTTTAAGATTGAAACACAATTTTACACTTAAGTAAGGAGTAAAATTGACATTTGAAAACTTGGAGCAATATTTTTTATATTCGATTAATTTAATCGAATATTATTTTTAAAATATAAAATCTTAAAATTCATTTACACTTTATTTGTTACATCGGAACATCAAAATATTTTCAACAGTGACAAAATGTTGTACCTTTGCTAGGGATTCATCGCATCTCGTAGATTCTAGAGAATTTTCCTATAAGAACATCTTCGAAGAAAGAGTCTCAAACACTCAATATTCTTCGAGAACTCTCAGAAAAATATTACCAAAAGAATGATCTAGAAGATCTAATCTTAAAAAGCCGTAACCAGTTGATATGATTTCTAGCAAATTCACGTAACCTATCAGAGTTAAAGTTTATCATCAGTTGATCATATTCATCTAGTATGTTAGTCTACTATAAACTATAATAACTTTACACCTAACACCAAATTTAAGAGTCGTTAAAAAATTATTTGACCAACGTTAAAAGAAATAATAATATCATCGATTGTGACTTTTCGCTCAAACCGAAAAGAGTAAACTGCCCTCATAACCCATACTAATACTCGGTCTTTTCTTATCTGAGAGGAATATTGCCTTGTGCATACCAAGCCCTTATGACCACGGCTTTCAATATTTAAATGAATCATGCATTACCGTAATTTGGACCGTTTGTGATGAAAATTCAAGAAAATTACACCAACGAATTTGAGAAAGGTATAGGAGAATGTTGATCCGTGACTGGTCTCAGCCTAGATTTTTTTACTTTTTGCATTTAAGAATCAATTAGTTTTATATTTTATCAATGAAATCTACGAAAAGATATGATAGATATGTACAATATCAAAACAAAATTATATATTCATCGTTATGATACTAACTGAATTTCCCTTAAAGTATTAAAGTTTGATCATATCAACCCATTTGAGATTTTCCATCTCGAGTTTCAACTTTTCTAAAATACGAAATTTCTATCATAATAAGAGGAAAAATTCACCCATGAACAGGGAAGTATTATTTTTTAGAGAAAATCGCCTCAGTGACCAAAAAAAAAGTTATAATATACGATTTTAACCAACTTTTTTTGGATTTGCCAAAATGACCAACAAAATCGCAACGCGAAATAAAAATCGCAACGCGATCCCCAGAATCGCAAATCAGTTTCCAGAATCGCAAATCAGTTTCCAAAATCGCAACGCGATTCTTGAAAATCGCGATGCGATAGTACAAATTCGCATTGCGATTTTCAAAAATCGCAACGCGAATATGAAAATTGCAACGCGAACACATAAATCGCAACGCGTATCCGTAAATCGCAACGTGTATCCGTAAATCGCAACGCGTATGGGTAAATCGCAATGCGTATCCGTATATCGCAACGCGTATCCGTAAATCGCAACGATAATACATAAAATCGCAACGCGTATCCGTAAATCGCAACGCGATATTTAAAGCGCCATTATAATCGCTACGCGTATTTTATTTTCAAATTACAAAAAGAATATTAAGACAAAAATCCCGTAATCGCAACTCATAACCTAAAACCTAAAATCACAACTCAGTCCCATCTCCATCTCTCACTCTCTACGGCGAAGAAATCCGTCCCCATCTCCGAAGATTTCCGTCCCCATCTCCGGCGAAATCCCTCACAACCATTCACGGTCAGAAATCCCTCACAATATTCAGAAATGGAAAATCAACCTCCGAGGGTTAGTTTTTTTAATTATTTTTATTTTGAAATGTTTGCATTATTGTAGGTTTTTCATATTGAAACTGATGATAAGTTTACTGGTCATTTCAATAATAGATTAACCATTTCACTTAGATTTCATTTCGCGTTACGATTCTGTCGTTGCGATTTTCATTTCGCGTTGCTATTCTCTCGTTGCGATTTTCAAGTTAGTATTTGTCTTTGTCTTTGTTCTGTCTTTTGGTTGAAGTAATGCAATCCATTCAAGTTTCAATTTGCAGAAGAGTCGCAACGAGATAAATGAAAATCGCAACGAGAGAATGACTGTCGCAACGAGAGAATCGCAACGCGAAATGAAAATCGCAACGAGAGAATCGCAACGCGAAACCAAAATCGCATTACGATTTTCATTTCGCGTTGCGATTCTCTCGTTGCGATTTTCATTTCGCGTTGCGATTCTCTCGTTGCGATTGTCATCTCGCGTTGCGATTCTCTCGTTGCGATTTTCATTTCAACCAAAAGACAAAACAGTGTTGCAAATTTTAGTTTCAAGAATAAACTACTACTTTTTATGTTTATTGTTTTGGTATATCTTCACAGTGTAGTTTTTGGTATATCTAACTTGGTATGTTTATTGTTTTTGTAGAAATTTTTTTCGGCTCAATTGACCTTGAGAAATAAAGTCAGCCTGGCCACTACAATTGCAAAGAAGCTTTCACCTGCTCAAAGACAATTGTTTGAGGAAACCTGCTTCGGGCCATGGCTGAGAGTACAGCATCCGGGTGGAGATGCTAATTTGACCCATTTGTGGCTTCAGACCATGACATCAAATCTACCCGACAGTATACAACGTGGTGAGGAAGAGATATGGTTTCATTTTCCACCAGCGTATACTTGCTTTGGGCGGAAGGAGTTCTGCTTAATCACTGGTCTACGATTCGGACACGATGATGTAGGCCGGTACACTCGTCATATCGCCCGCCCATCATGGTTATCCCGGGTTTTTCCGGATGAGTCAATGGAGAAGCCGAACCTACATGTCGACGACCTGAAGAAATTATTTAATAAGAAAGCTGGTTTCACTCGGATGGAAGACGTCGATGTTGTCCGAGTATGCCTTCTACTACTTGTGTATGCCGGCTTTTAGGCAGAGAGGCCAGACAACCTATTCATCGGGAGCTAATAATATTGGTAGAGGACCTGAATGCATGGAATCTGTTTCCGTGGGGTTCGTATATATGGAAAGCTACCTGGACTAAGTTGTCGTCTGCCTTTGATGACCGCAAAAGTTTGCGGGGCGATGGGTCCAAATACACTTTGTCAGGCTTTGTTTGGGCCTTTAAGGTAAGAATTTCTATATAATGTTTCTAAAATTATAATTAATTATTTAACAATTACTAATTTTGTTATTATATTGTTTGTAGATTTGGATATTCGAGGCTTTCCCCAGCATGCGTACATATGCAATAAAAACGTCAAATGATATTCCCAGGGCTATTTCCTGGAAGAGGAAAACTCTGTTGGATTGGGAAGACTTAATACCATATGCCACAATAAATAATGTAAGTTAACACAAATACTTTCATATAATATATAAACAAGTTATTAATAGTAGACGTTTAACTTTGTTTGAGTTTTTATATTTTAGGAGGCCAACATTCCATTACAAAGACTGTCACCCACGGAGGAAGAGCTTGCCACTGATTGGTGGCAAGCTAGTCAGAGTTTTTTTGATGGCACGGATGATGAGCAGCATCCACTTCCTCCAATTCGAGAGCCATCACCTCACCTAGAGCCATCACCCGATCGTGACGACTATACACCTCTAGAACGAGAGCCATCACCTATCTCGTCACATCATCGAGCCTCTTCTCCACCATCACCTCATGATAGGCGACCGGCAAAGATGCCACGACTCCTATCTCCCTGTTCTCCACCTCCACCTCAACGGGATGAGTCAAGGGAGTTACGTGATGAGGTCAATGCCTTGCGTGAGGAGATCGGTACTCTACGCGATAACGATGGTGCATGGCGTGTGGAGGTGTCAACTTTACGTGGTGAGGTTGCCGCTCTACGTGAGATGATAGTATCGTTGCAGAATGAGGTTCATACTCTACGCAACGAGGTAAGTTTAAGATTTTCCATATTTAACTTAATGATAAATTTACTCGTAATTTCACTTAGATTAGCCATTTCACTTAGATTGCTTAGTAAATTTGTTCGGTTGCTGCCAATTCTGCTAAACTGTGTATTCTTTAACACTGTGAAATAGTATTTGTCTTTGTTTTGTCTTTTGGTTGAAAGTAAATTTGTTCGGTTGCTGCCAATTCTGCTAAACTGTGTATTCTTTAACACTGTGAAATATATTTGTCTTTGTTTTGTCTTTTGGTTGAAAGTAAATTTGTTCGGTTGCTGCCAATTCTGCTAAACTGTGTATTCTTTAACACTGTGAAATAGTATTTGTCTTTGTTTTGTCTTTTGGTTGAAAGTAAATTTATCCATTCAAGTTTCAATTTGCAGAAGAATTTATAGTTTACTTTCGCAACACGAAACTTAAAATCGCAACGCGAAACCAAAATCGCAACGCGAAATGAAAATCGCAACGACAGAATCGCAACGCGAAACCAAAATCGCAACGACAAGATCGCAACGCGAAACCAAAATCGCATTGCGATTTTCATTTCGCGTTGCGATTCTTTCGTTGCGATTTTCATTTCGCATTGCGATTCTGTCGTTGCGATTTTCATTTCGCGTTGCGATTTTGGTTTCTCGTTGCGATTTTAAGTTTCGTGTTGCGAAAGTAAACTATTTCTTCTTCTGCAAATTGAAACTTGAATGGATTGCATTACTTCAACCAATAGACAAATCAAAGACAAATACTAACTTCAGGGTATTAGTTTGAAACATATTTTTCTTTGTTATCTGATGCATTTTGTGAACTATGATAGAATAATGACTTGGGTGAATACAATGCAAGTTTGAAACATATTTGTCTTTGTTTTCACTGTTTAAATATCATGTCTGTTTATTTACTGATTTTTGTATTTAATTATTTAACGGCCCGATAGAGTGGATGCTTTACGT